CCACCAGACACACTTGGGTGCGAGGTGGGCTGCCATGACTCATCTAGCCGAAAAAACTTAGAGGGGGGAGAATGAACTTCATCTTGGAATCCCTGTGAAGTGAGAATCTGCATCTGTTCAAAAGTCGCTGCAGATGCATGCAGCATGGAAACCAGCCTAGCCTTTGCTTCTGTCGCGTCCCCACCTTCCTCGAAACCAGCTCCCCAAATGCCATGCTCCTCCTCCAAATCCAGGCATTGCTCCAGAATGCCGGATCGCTCCTGATCCTCTGCCGTATCCGAAAGACTACGGGGTGCTGCTGCACCAGGATTCAACCTCCGTTGGATACTCCGGCACACAGCCAAAAATGCCACAAGCGTCACCAGTGAAACAATGCACACCACAGCCCCAACCAGAAACTTTCCGCGATGTGGTCCTCGCTGAAGTACCTTGCGTCCACGCCTGACTGTAAGCTGGCGTAAGTGAGGTGGCGGAACAGAGGTAATGCTTTGGAATGCAGCGTTTGGGTTGTTCGTATATAAAATTGCTAATGATTGTTGCAGATCCGCATCTGCTTGATGGTGCATCTGCGTCATTATGGAGCGGAGCTGCTCGCCATTTCGAAGTAAAAATAATCAGTAGGTGCCGCCCTAGAGTTGCTGTTCTGGAAATAAAGTAAACACCAATGAAGTGTCTCTATTTTGCCTTCATTTTCTTGATGCGCCTCACGCCAAATTCCCGTGATACTGTGTGATCGGTAGCACGTATGCAGGACACTAGGACAGAAAACCACAGAAAACCCGCAAAGAAAGAAGCTACTATGCCTGAATCTCAAGCTAACTAATTCAAATCACTATTGGTCATAAGCGGGTGCTATGAAGCACTCCCCACAGGAACAGTCACTCTGGGTCGCGGGTGCCAGTGACCGGTGGACCCCCTGCGGGAATTCCAGGTTCAAGTATTCGTCTCATTCGATTGCTTCAAGTTCTATGTGGGATTTTTATTCTCGTCGAATGCATTTTTGGGACGGATCAGAGCCGCCGTATCGGTTGAGACAGTCCACTGGCTTCGATCCCTGCGTCGACTAACCAAAGACCAGGCGCAGCATCTGTGTGGGATTGAGGACGAACACCCAACCACCGGCCATAACCGTGAAGCAAATTTTCAGAGGCAGCTGCATGATTTTAGCATTCTACGTGAAACCTGGTGGGGTAGCAAAATTGGTAGGATAGCCTTTAGGCCTTCAGACTGTCCACTCAGTTGCGGTACGCCACACCGTAGTCCTACAGACTCCTGTCTACTGCACGAAGTGCTACGGCAGGGTGTTTATCATTAAAACTGTTTATACAGTGGGTCATCCTGGCACTTAGGGTAGCAAGATTGACCTGAAGAATGCTTGTGAAGAACTGAAAGCCTTCCACAACGGACCGAAGATACGCACGACTGCGAGGAGCAGAATTCTGTTCATTGGATGTTAGATTGTACAGAGGCGAAAGTGTACATTGACAGGACAACTCTTTTAATGAAATTGTGGGGTATGTGCACTGAGGCGCACTCGCTGCTCTGCGAAGAGTTCAGGCGTGGAGAGTGTCGTTGGCCCCAGCCGAGGAGTGGCCTGCAGGAGAATCGAAGTACTTCCTATGAGAATTCCCAGAAACAGCTTTCCTACCCTCTTGTATACAGGAGTAATTCGAGAAATGGAACACAGGCTTGGCACTGGTAGTGACAGGAGGTGTTCTGCAAGGTGTGTGCGTTGCAGCAAATCTTGCTCAAACTCGTCGTACAGGAAAGCCTCACATGCAGGCATAGCAAAGCCCCCTTTATATGCACGCACCCACACCGAAGGTAGGTATCGAAAGCCTGCTTGGCCCCCAGTAGCGAGTTTGCACCCAAGTCGAAACGCATGTGCCAGGTTGGTCCATCTCTAGCTATTCTTGGCTAATAGTGCGCGTCATCTCCATGCACCCCGCAGAGCAGGTGCATCCTAGGCCTTTACAGAGGAAACGTTAAACATGCCCAGGGCCAGAAACCTACCATATGCAGATATCCAAAGCAGCATTCGTGTGGGAGGCCAGACTGGGAATGTTGAAAACGCATTGAAGGATTGATATCCCTTTGCCTTGGAGAGCTTATGTTAGCCCTTCTTAGGCAGAAGCTCCACAGAGGTCATAGAAAGACGACTGATTACCCTTATTTCCCCCATCCCATTTCAGCTTTTCTCCCTGGAGGACAGGATTCTTTAGAATACCCTCGATGCATAGATAGATGATGAATATTAGCTACTGTATTGTTACTAGGAAGAGAGCACAGTTGCAGCTTCACCATCTGTTAGGCAGACTTCCATTCATTGCTTCCCCATCATGCAAAGCGATTGTATCTGCCTGCAAGAAGTGCGTAGCGTGGAAACAGTGCCAGCGTGAGAGAAGCAAGGCAAATGAGTATTAAGTACCACAACAAGTCAGAATGACATCCGCCTGGTGCCAGCCTGAAGGCTTACGTGGAAACAAACTGTAGACAGGTTGTTAGTAAGATACAAAAGTCAGGAAAAAAACTGAAAGAGGAAACTTTATTTTCAAAACAGCGCTAGTTGCTGGGAGCATCAGAGTAGTTGCAGGTAAGCCAGATAAGCACGCATAAAAGCATGCATGCGCAAGTTTGGCTACCTTTGATAACCTCTAACTGACAAAATGCTCGGCAATCAGAGAGGCTTGCGCGTATAGATGCAAAATCTGAATTAAACGGGCAACCACTACAATGCAGGCGTCACAGTGTACTCGCTTCCCGGTGACCGGGCACTTCGCCGACAGAAGGATCTTTTGGACCATTACTAGAAGAAGAGAACTTATTATCATCATCCATCCAGAGCTTCCACAAGGGGTTCGAAAGCTGAGTGCGCTTGTACGCATGGGAAATTATGGCCCGCTTGAGCTCAATGATCTCTGTAAATGCCGGGCGTCTTCCGCCCTTATATATTGACAGTGCAGCGCTCAGTCGATTGACCAGCTTGTTCAGCATCTCAGTTCTCTCATTCCTCCCTCTCTCCGAAAAGCAATAATCTGTGTGGAACCTTTGCACGAACTGAGCCCACCAGCTGCCTGTATTCATCTTTTCCCCCAGGAGCTCAATTGTGCGTACCAAGTGGTCAAAGGCCATAAATATAGACGACAATTTAACAAACAGGTAGTTGGCTCGCCGTCTCTTGAGTGGCCGCGTTAGTTTGTCGTTTGCGTAGCATGCCACGAGTTCTGCTTCCCTAATGAGTGTCTGAATTTCTTCAGGAGTCAGCGAAGCCTTCGCAAATAAACTGCGCATTGTCGTATATGACTCCATAGGACTCTGCCTGGGAAAACGAAGCAACAGTGCAAACTCCGCACGGAATCTCCGGCGGATATCTCGGGGATTCACCACTGGTAGCCGCACAAAAGGATGCAGGCGAACGTCGCCACCCTTGCTGGGCTCCCCAGGATCACTATTGGGTGCCCGCAGAGCTGGGATCGAAACTGACCTCCCCACGCCACCCAAAGTGTCCTCAAAGGCTTGTGCTTGGCTCTCAAGCTGTTGCACTGTTTTCATTTGAATTAGTGGCACTGCGCTGTCATGACGCAAGCCTCCTTGAGAGTTCCTACGGCCGACTATACCTGTACGCCTGTCAGTTCCAAAAGAACCTTCATCAGTTGAATCTGGTGAAGTTGCATCCACCGTTGGGTTTTGCAATGAAGTGCCTATTACCCTGTGCTGAAGGGCCTGTGGATACATGTTAGCTGAATGGTAGTCGAGCCAAGCCTCCGCATTCAGGGCGTCTTCACTGCTGGTTGCGCTGCCAACTGACAAAACGGCCCGTTGTTTTGCAGTTACCTCCGCTTCATAAATGTCCGACGAACCTGTTCGATATGCTGGTACTTCTCGTTGAAGCCCTTGCATTCCGCTCGCCCCTGCGGCATGCCCTTGCTGCCCGCCTTCCCCCAAAACTGACCCAAAATCATTCGCCACCCAGGCATCTGCACTAAAAGCGTCGAACCCACTGCCCACCGCCACACTACTACGGTCTGACCCAAATCTGCCACCAGGCACACTTGGGTGCGAGGTGGGCTGCCATGACTCATCTAGCCGAAAAAACTTCGAGGGGGGAGAATGAACTTCATCTTGGAATCCCTGTGAAGTGAGAATCTGCATCTGTTCAAAAGTCGCTGCGGCTGCGTGCAGCATGGAAACCAGCCTAGCC